AGAAACCTAAAGAAAAAAAAATAATTATTCAAGTATTATTGGCAATGTTTTTTAATGAATTGATACGACTTGATAAGATAAACTTTATGCATATTCATATAATTTTATTATTCAGTACATTATCTTTAATCATGCCAGTTCGTATAGAAATAATTTAAGTAAGTATAGAAATAATTTTAACATCTTGTTTTAATTGCAAGGAAATTATACAGGATGTTCGATAATAACCACATCTTATTTCTTGTTAGCAAATATAGTTATATTAAGTATATAAGTAAAAGTCTTATCATTTTACAATTTTTATTATAATTAAAGAGCTATTAATTTATACAGATAAGCATTAAGCATATGAGCACAAAGAATAATACGTATCACATTCACAATTGCTAAACATATGTCTTTAGCAAAGTGAAAGGTTTCTTTAATGTCAATAAACATATTTCAAGATCATTGTGTTGAGAAGTTAATTGTTATTGTTACATAATGAGTGTTTAAATAAATTTGTATTAAATTGCAAATAAATGGTAACGTGATTGATTCCAAATCAATAAAATAACAAACTAATATTGTTACAACCATGCTGGATTGATCTTTAGGTGTATGTTGGATTAAACAGCCAAAAGTAGTGCGAAGCAATTTTTAATAAGCTATTTGATTGTTTTAATTGATGTTTTTGATATGAGAAAGTCTAGTCTTATGTAAAATGTATCCTTTTTTGCTCTATATTCTCCTTAATAAAATTCCAAATTAATTTAAGTTGTAAGTAAATGAGTTACTTATTGAAAATAAAATTCTTATTTCTGTATGCGCGATAGTATGTATAAATATGCTTAAATTCTTCTATCTAAATGTTAATAATATCTTTAATTTGATTTTAAACGAATTGTTTTTCAACAATTTTGATAGTTTTTTGAATTGCGTTACAAGTGAAACTATTTTGAATATATGTATAAATATGTATAAATATGTATAAATATGTATAAATATGTATAAATATGTATAAATATATGTATAAATATGTATAAACAGTTTTACGTGTAGTATTTCCGAATAAATCTACTATTTCATTATAGTTACATACACATACACACATACACATGAACTGATAAGACGTTGTTTTTTTTTACTTGCATTTACATATTGTGTTATATAAGTGATATAAGTAAGTTTGTTCCTGTTTCCTAGTCCAGTCCAGTTCCAGTTCAGTCTTTTATTTTTTCGCGTTAACTTGTACTTTTTATCTGTTCAAAAGAAAATTAATTCCTAATTTTTTTCATTGAAACTTTATATGATACATTAGTACCAGTTCGATTTCTCTAGGTAATAAACCCGATCGGTAAGCTTCGTAATTTCATTACTTATATCACGAATCGTATGTTACAGAATGCCACACAATAAAGACCTTCCAAAATGGATCGAGGAAACGATGATGAAAATCATCGAGAAACTTGGACCGAACGTCCACAAGGCTCAGTATGAATTAACCGAATTTAATGACAATTTGATCATGTCTAGTTTGTGTTACGTACGTTTGCAATTTGAGAACAAAACAAACGAAAAAAACGAAGAATTACACGTGATACTGAAGAAACCCATGAAAGGCTTTAGTCAGATAGCTCACATCGACGATCAATTTCACAATGAGATCTTGTTCTATCAGAAGTACGTCCAACCGGATGAGATCGACGCGAAGAAATACGCGAGGTGCCTCTACTTCGATGAACGGCCGCCCAACGATTCGATAATCGCTCTGGAAAATGTCAACCAACGAGGATATTATTCTTGCCCGTATATGTACGACTCCCCTGGAATGGACTCCTCCATGGAATATGTATTGGCGGCGATGCGCGAGTTGGGACGATTTCACGGTAAAGGCTACGTTATGAAGGAGCTGCAACGGGAAAAGTTTTTCGACATTGTGGCACAATGTAAAGAGGTCAGATTCGCAAAGTATTCGGAGAACGTTTACGAAACTTTGCCGAATATTCAATCGATACGCGCGATAGAATATCTTCGTAAACGTGGCCACGATCCCACTTTCTGCGATAAAATGGAGACCTTTCTCTCGGAAGCGTTCGACAAAGTGATGATGAAGGTAGTGCAACCGGTAGAACCCTTGGCCACGCTCTGCCACGGTGATTTTATCTTGGGCAACATTCTCTTCAAGACGGAAGACAACGGACAATATCAGCCAATGCTAATCGATTTTGCTCTTATCAGGTACTCGACGCCCGTTGTTGATCTCTCCACGTTTTTGTGCCTCTGTTGCTCGAACGATATGAGAAGAAAATATTTCTTCGAGATCATGCGAGCCTATCATGACGCGCTGAGGGGGTATTTGCTAAAGGCTGGATTTCAGAATATCGAGAAATACTCGTACGACGCTTTGTTGGACGATTTCAGGAGAGGTGCTCTCTTCGGTTTTGTTATCGCGTCTTCCTTCTTATTTATGATATTGGGACATGCCAACATGACGGTATTAGTACAAGATATAATAAACCTGGGCAGGCTGGAAAGTGCAAAAAAATATAAGTACGCTGGTGGAGACGAACTATCTAAAATACTTGCTGATATGTTGCTGCATCTGAAAGATCTTGGCTGCTTAAAACATGTTTTATAATTGTGTGAAATAATTTGAACGCAAAATATAATCTAAAACAATTAATAATTATAAAAACGTATGCAACAGGTCTTTCAATGAGTCAAATATGCCAATTAATGTAATATAAATTCATAAACATGTTAAGTATCAAAAATTTGTTTTATAAATATTGTTGCACTTACATTTATTTTAATGTTGTAATTTTTACGAGAGATATCCTATGCATCTACAGAAAGAAAATTACAAATATTATTAATACATTATGCACATCGCATGGTATCATGATAAAAATGGTAAATTATTAATTTAAATATTAATAATTATATTGTCAGTAATATTTTTATAAAGTTTGCATATATATTACATATATATTTTTTGTAAAATCGTAATTTATATATGTTAATATAAACATATTATTCATTATAGCAATAAAGAAATTGCGTTTTATTTAATAGAAAAATAATTTTGTTGCAAAATTATTTTGATAATGAAATAAATATATATTTATTTTGATAATGAAATAAATATATGTAATAATAATGTTTTTACTAGTTTTTAATTTACAGAATTGTATAAAATATTGAATAATAATATAATACAATTTTTCGAAGGAAAAGTACAAAAACGAAACTTGATATTATATACATATATGTAAATATAATTTTATATCTAAAAAATATATTACGAAGGACATTAAAGAACATAAAATTAAATGTCATGTAATTTATTTGTCAATTACAAAATTAATATAGCATAGAAATTTAAGAATATATATTAATAGTTTTCAGACTATTAATAAAATATTAAATATTATAAAAATATTTAAACATTCTAGAAATAACTATAAAATATATGAAAAGTTGTATTCAAGTTGTCAACAATAAATGAAAGCAATATTTTAAAAATATTTATAACATAGGCAAATGTATCAGATTTGATTGGATCATTTGGCTAACGAGTTTGATTTTCTCCGACTGGAAACAATCTTCTAACAATTTTTGCGGAACGCTCGAGATTAGCTTGTCGCTTTTCTATCACTGCTTGTATTGTATTTGAGGAATCTGATTCGAGCTTTGTTGCTATGAATCTATTTATCTGAAACATATTAATTTAAAATATTTATCTCTAAAATATATATTAAAATACCCACACAGCACAAATGACTAGCCAAATGTTTAGCCAACGTCGACGTTTAGCTAAACGTCGATTTTCTATAAAAGTTAGCCTAGTCGCCATAACCATGTAAAAATGTCGACTGATATGGCTGACTTGTAACCGACTATAATTGGGACATTTGTCGATTATTGATCGGCTATAAGTTGACATTTAGTCTAATTAAAGTCAACTTTAGACTTCTTCTGCTGACTTATAGTCAACTTTGTGCTGTTTAACTTTGGATATTTATTAAATCATTTAGTATAAATCAATCATTAAAAAATTTACCTTGTCAAATGATTCCTGAGAAAATATATGACTAATAATAATCCTTAATATTGAAGTCATACCAATTAATCTATAAAAATAAAACAATAAATTTATGATTAATGCATATAATAAACTTTTATAAATAAAAGATTTATAAAATACATAAAATTCTTTTATTTAATAAAAGAATGCATTATATTACTTGGGTTTCACTATTTCCAAATTTTCTAATACGTAGTCAAGAATTAGATTGTTGCGTGCTTGTTTATCAAGAATAGTATTAAAGACATAAAAATGCGTTGAACCGTGTAATAATGAAGTGTTCAATGCTATTATATTTAAATAATTGATTATAATATCAGGATCTTGAGAACAAGACAAAATTGTTAAAAGTTTGCGGTCGTGAGTTTGTTGATATAATTCAAAGAGTTTATTCCAAGTAGTTTGATCAGCTCTCATCATTCCACAACAATATGTCCATGTTTTCCACCATAATGGAAGTCTAAAATATATATCTATTTAGAAATAGTACATACAAATATTTGCATACATGCAGCCGAATTTCCATCCAGTTCAGTTTTCTGTTTTTATATTTTGTTAAAACAATATTAATTCAGAAACTGAAAGTACATACATCTTGGTACATTTAAACAAACCGTTAGCGACAAACCGTTAACGAAATTCGAGAATATTAAACTCGATATATTAAAATATTTACTTGTGATTATCAGGATCGTCGAGACGTTCTTTCAATTTAAGATTGATCATCTTCTTGGTTTCTGGATTATCAAGGAGACATGCCCATTTCGTAGCTTCAACCCTTTTCATTTTTGTGATGTCATCATCGTCAAAATTTTCTTCATATCCTGTATTTTGAAGAAGCTCATTCAGAATACCTGCTACGTGCAACTAGAAATTATAAATTAATATAAATTAATATAAATGTATATCGATTTGATATTTATAAAGAGATACAATTCATATACAAACGTTATTGTACTATTAATACATGATTTACATCATGAAAATGATCGGAGAATCTAACTTTCACTAAAAATCAGAGTAATGAAGGAAAGGTGGGGAGAAAGAAGGATCTGATGCTATTGAACAAAATTTATAAAGAAAGAAACATTATGTAACAATTAAATAACAAAATGAAAAATATAATGTAAGAAACTGAAGAGTCGATTGTAAAACATTTACGTAGATATAATCTATAATTTTATTGTATAATATAAATACAATACATATAATAATGTTTCTTACTTTTATAATATTTACTATTGCGTACCTTAAAAGCTTCACTTTCTGGTATAATAAAGTATTGTAATAATTGTGTTAAAATTTGAAACATTGGATACCATGCCACGTAATCTGTTTCACGTGACAAATAATTTGTAATATTGAAAAATACGGACGCATTGAGTTCATTTGCCATCCAAAAGGTAAATGCATCGTTAATAATTTGAGCACGATTGAGAACATGAATTTTCGTATATTCCTCCGAATTTAAATAACGTACAATCCTTTGCCAATTTGTGTAATCATAATTGACACGATAATATCCTAAAGTATTATTCATTATATTCATCATTATATAATTTTAATTAAATTTATACCAATATATAACATATTTATATAATATATTTTCAATTATCGAATTTCTAAATATAATATAATATATATATATATATATATATATATATATATATATATAATA